GAGTTGCACAATCTCATTCTATCTGTGTCATACCCAATACTCCTCCTCTTTCTCAAGATCTTATTGAACGAATCTTCCCTAATTCCTCATATCACGATCAATTGCGATCCATTAATTCAGAAGTTTCTATCTGTAAATTTTTATCATTTTACACAGACGGTTCTCTTTCTGCTTCAAAAACTGATCAATATAAAATAGGTATTGGTTGGATCTATCACACTGATTCTACTTCACAATTAATGTTCAATGCTTTCATTAATTATTGGCCCTTCTCAACTCGTGCTAAAATTTTCGCTATTCTCTCAACTCTGATTATCTCCTCCAAATACTCAACTATACAGATTGATACTGATAGTCAAGCTACCATTCATGGCTTTCATTCTCATATTACTCAACAATCGTTTCTACAAGAACTAAAGAAAAATCAGCCAACTATACATTATGGTATCTCATTCAATATATAATAGAATCTTCTGAACTCCAAGTTTATCTTCACAAAGTTAAAGCTCATAATAGAGACTTCTCTAATGATTTGGCTGACTCACTAGCTAAAGCTGGTCGTAATCTTTCTTCTTTATCTCCTTCCCTTGTTCATACTCCTAGATTATCTCTGATTTTCGCTTTCAATAATATTTCTATTGAATCTTCTATTCGTCAATTTTTCAAGAATCTTTTCTCAGCTTCCAACTTCTCAGCTTTTTTAGATCTTAATAGGAATGATCACATTCATACTCATAGTGATTTTCACTGACCTCTTATTTGGCAATTTTTCACCTTTAACTTATCTTCCTTATCAACATCCTTTGAAACTTCACGACTCAAATCCTTTATTATCAAAATTTTTGTTAATGAACTTCTACTCTCTATTGATTAGAACAATTAAGACCTAATCTCTATAAAAATTGTTGTTATGTTGGTTGCAATATTACTATTGAAACTTCTACTCATATGTGTCTTGCTCAGCCTACTCGACAATTATCAACAATATCATCTCACAAACCAAAGATCTTTTATTAAAAGATTTGAAAAACACTCCAACCCTAACTCATACTATGATGCTTTACCTGAACTACTCTGTTACTATGATGAACTCTTTGCATCTCCTTCTTTCTTAACGGATAGATTTCTAAACGTATTCGATACCAACTTTCCAGTGAATTCATTTCACTTATTTATAATATTACAAAGAATAAAAATAGTTGCTATACAACTATAGTGAACTTCTTAATCTTCTTCTTTAAAAATCTATATAATAATATATGAAAATACAGATGCAAACTTCTCATTGCTTATGAACTTTCAAAAGGCATTAATAAACAATTAAAACGCAAGCAAGATGCCTGCAAACGTTTATCGCATTCCCTTAAAAAACCTTTATTCCTAATTTTGGATCATGAATTCACAAGGCAAACATATATGGTAACTCTTGAACGGATTTTTAGATAGACACTGACTTTCTTCTTTTTCTTTTTCTGGTGATAACAGTAGTCATTAAATATGCATTTAGTGGGTCTGTTAAAGAGACGATGATAGGTCGATTCAAATGGGTTTGTAATATAACTACAGGGAATAGCTAGTACTTTAAAATTAGTTTTTTATTTCTACTTTTGTATTTATTACTTATAAAATTAAATAAAGTTATTGGCAGTGTCACATTGTTAAAAAAAAAAATAAAAAAAAATAATTTCGACTATTTTGACCATTTTGACTCCATGTATAGTCCAGATATTGTAGAAATTCCAAACCAATTCGATCAGATGCAAATCATTGAGAGTTTAAAACAAGTTAAGGTATGAAGTATTTGGATCATAAGAGCCCAAAATAGCCTTGATAGTTGGGAAATTTTATTGTGTCACATTATGGGGTAGAAGTTAACAAATCGTAAATTGATTTTGCAAAACATAATACTATAAAACTATCGCTCCCAGATGCTACAATCATTACAAAACATGTAACAAATATGACAACCCTAATATCTGCCCCCCTTTGATTAAAGATCTTCAGGAAAAAGCTTTCTGATTATTTCTATACATCAACTTCAAAAAAATATTTCACTAAACTGTTGTCTTATCTTCTGTAATACCAAAGTTACAAGAAAGGAATTTGCTGATCTCGATTTGACTGAAAAAAAATAAACCTATATGATAATTCAGTCTACAATCCACCTAATAATTCTCCTAGGTGGTTACTGGAAATATAATAGGATTTATCATTGGTGAGGTTTTTCTTTTATATATTCCATTATGATAATAATAACCACCATCATATCCACTGTTTTCATTATATCCATTATATTCATTATCTGAATCATCTGGCATCTCTTCTTCAGAATCATTGTCGTGACTACAGTAACTATCATCATCTATCCTATCTGGTATCTTTGGCACCTTTTCATTCGCTTCAGAAGAAATTATGATACTTTGATAGGAAAGAATTTTTGTAGCCTGTCCTTTATGTAAGGCATAGATTTTGTTCTGTGAGTTGATATACATTGACGACTGTATAATAAAGTAAATGCTATTATAGACATATGGGAGCGTTTCCAGTAAAATCACATTACGGATCATATGATTTACTATGCCTCATGACTTGATTTTACTGGAAACGTTCCCATATATCTTCGGTATAGGCAGATATACAAATATTTGATAGTTAGCATAACGCCTTCATAGATTGTGACCACGAGCCATATGACCATATGGTACAGTAAGTTAGAATCAGTTTAATTATATCTCTCAAAATCTGTAAATAGTCACACTTGAGAAAAATTTTATACAGTATTTCACTTCATACTTTGTGATTGTTTATAGACCAATAAATAATACTGTATTTCGTATAATAAAACACGAATATAGTGGCATTGAACTTTTAAGACAAAATTTCTGATCATATGAATGTTTGCTAAACCTAATGTGAGCAAACTACAAAATACTTTATTTATTTCAGTGTCTTATAGTACAAATAAAATGGTTGAAACACTAATTACATAAGCAAATCGGTAATATATACTTGGTTACAAAAATGTCATGTGATATGACAACATTTAAGGTACTGTACATATTGTGAAAAACACGATTATTTACCAAATCACTTCTTTCCGTGTCCTTCTCTTGCTCAAGATATTTTCCTACATTATCACATGAGACTTAATTTTTTCCACTTCCATCTTGATATTTTGGAGTTCACTACGAAAGCTTGCATTAAGATCTTCAATGAGTTCTTTTCGAAACTTATTTAAATCAAAGTCGGCTGGAAAGGTTTCTACTATAGATTTCTTACATAAATTTTCATCTACATCACCAGAATATATAATAAGTTATTAATAAATATTCCCAAAACTATATTACAATATTTATGGTTACTTACTCTGATTATTAAGCTTCCTAGCAAAATCTGCAAGTCTCATGGCCAGTCTTATTTCTAATCCACACTCCCGGAATTCTTATTTATCCATTTTAATGAAGTCACAACTGGTAATTTTTCTTTCGCGTAAAATTTTGAAATGGTTTTCGCTTAGAACAAAACGTCTTGTTTTCATAAAAAGTCGATTAATTTCTTGGTATCTTTCTTTTTAACTTTTTTGGCTAAATTATCTTCGGTAGAGAACTGTGATATGCGTTGTTCATTACTGTCTGATAAAAAAAATATTTTTGAAATAGGCCCTATAGGAACAATTATTAAGTGCATGTTGATTCATATACTATCCGATAAATTCTTACCATAATGATAATCAATTGTTTCCTGATTTTTATTTTCTACTCTCGCTTTTTTTGTCGAAGTTTCATCATTATCGTTGTTGGAGAGTGGGGGCTTATCAGACTTCCGCTTTAGAGCTATCATTTAGTATATTTTTAAAAGTGCAAATTAATAACGATGTCTAAAATAATTTGGAAGTTTAATATACATGTAAATTCGTTCATCACTGCTCCGGTCACTGCACGTATTCCGGTAGTTAGGATCTTGCACTAATTGCATCCAATTGGAGGAAAGATTACATTCGGTTTTGATATATAGATAAAATCAAATATATTACATACTTTATAAACTCTATTCTCAACAGCCAACTTTCCTAGATTTACGGAATGTTCTTGCTATAACTCGATGTTAACCTGGTCACTTTTACAGTTCTTCAAAAAGAAAAAAAAAAGAAAAATATAGTAAATATTACAAATAATCTTATTATAGGCGATGAGTAGTTGGCAGACTGTAATTCAAGCAAAAAAAGCAAATTTTGCCATCAGCCCACTTCAAGCAAAAAACATTTTGCCTTGTGCGATAAGTTCGCTCAACATAATTGTAGGACTCGGTTATAAATAATGCCAACAGAACTAACTATCAAGTATAATGCTATGCTACAGATGGACTGAAGATCCCAGATGCAACATACTTCCCACTTCAGACAAAGAACATTTGTCTTGCGCGACAAGATCGCTCAACATAATTGCAG